CCTCTTGATCACGTGTACAATTTAAGTTGGTTGGGTTTTACGGCCAAGGGTACAGCGGTTAAAATTTATTTTCCACTGTACCATCAAGGGAACAGCCAAGGGTACACAGGAAAATAAGGGATTATTTTTACAACATTAACATTTCATTTTACAATTTAGTTGCACTCATTTCCAGTTTGTCCTTGGACATAGGCCTCCTCCAATGATCTCCATGCTTCTCTGTTTCTAGCCATTTGTGGCCATAATGGCCCTGCTAATTCGCGGATATCGTCCTCCCATCTTTTTGCTTGTCTGCCTCTGCTTCTTTTTCCTTCACGGGGATACCATTCCGTTACGGCTCTTGTCCATTTCTCTTTCTTTTCCCTCATTAGGTGTCCCGTCCACTTCCATTTCAACTTTCTAATTGTTGCAACAACACTTCTAAATTTGGTTTTTGATTTTATTGTGTTTAGGTTTATCTTGTGTTTAAGTTTCACTCCTAATACACTTCTCTCCATACTATTTTGGCATACTTTTAACTTTTTAAGTTGTTGCTTAGTTAGTGACCAGGTTTGGCAAGCATATGTGAGGCAGGGTAGTATACAGGCATCAAATGATGATCTTCATATACTACCTATTAATAATAATAATGTATTGTTCTGTTTTTATTCAAGGTACAACCCAACAGATTTGATCTTGAATGGCGATATAGCATTCGGCGCTGAAGAGCAGTTTGAAAATCAAGCCAAGATGGCCGTGCGTTTAGCCAACTTTATCAGTGCCTTCTTACAGGTAAGCGTAGTGTATTANGAAAAGTGTCAGCTGCTTTTGCAACAGTGGTTCTTGTGAGCATTATAACGGAAAATCTTCAATCTACTGAACCTGAATTGACCACAAATTCCCCTCAAAGATTTGATGATGAAATAGCAGGAACGGGTGGTACTCGGAATTTAGTGCCTCAGAGGTTAAGGTTAATTTTTGATATGAATGTTTATTAAGGAAAGTTGTTATTTCTGTTAATTTTTTATAAAGACATTTTGTTTACCATTGATTTGCTATAAAATAATAAATAATTGATCAATTTAAAATGACTTTTTCTTAAAGTATAACAGTCCTCTGTCTCAATGAACAGTCCCCTGTCATGATTTCTTGGAAAATCGTTAATAACTCGGAAAATATTAATAATTTCAGTGGGACTCCTTATCTAACTAAAATAATAGTAAATTTTCTTTGAAATGGATCACGGTTTTGTGGAAAATGTTAAAAATAATTGCCAGGACAGCATTTGTATGGGACCTGTACGAGCTTACAGAGAAATGCCCATTAACATTTATCAATACCAAGTTTCATCATTTCAGCCACAGTCCAAAGGACCAATGCTGAACATTAACATAGGCCTCCACCAATGATTTCCACATCGCCCGGTGGGTAGCGGCCTGAATCCAGCGCCTTTCCGCTACCATTATGAGGTCGTCGGTCCACCTTGTGGGTGTCCTACGCTGCGTTTAATTTACACACATTCATAAAACTAAAAATGTTAAAAGTTCATTGTGATGTCAGTTTTTCGATAATTATAACTTTTTCTAGGTGTCTGACCCTCAAGAGGTGTTCAGTGGAACCCGCGTAGCTGATAAAGCACTGACTGAAGATCAAATGATTGGCGAAACACTGGCTATCGTGCTTGGAGACTCCAAAGTGTGGTCTGCAGGTAACATTCTTCTATTTCCTTATTTAGAAAGAAACAAAAATAATTTATTTAGTTCAAAATAAATACAAAGTTTATAGTATACTGATATGTATTTAACCAAGTACTATTTATTGATCTTTCAGTATGTTTTCGTATGTGAAATTAATGTCGTTGGAGTACTTTTTTCAATCAATAATTTAATGTTACAGGTACTTACTGGGACAGAAACAAATTCACAAATCGCACGTTCTTCGCACCATTTGCATACAAAACTGAATTGAACACAAGAAAGTTCAAACTGGAGGACTTAGCGAGATTGAATAAGACAGGTAAAACTTCGTTACTTGGGGAAATATTAGAAAACCTAATTCATTGACTAGTCGCCATGTTACAAGCTGCAACGTCTATAGCTAGTAATTGATGTGTGAATTTGTATTTATTTTTTATCATTTGATTTCAGAGGAACTCTACACCAACAAACCATGGTTCCAATTCTTGAAGCAGCGTTGGTCGACCAACTTCGACAGCTTGGAACAGTTCTTCCTCAAGATGAAGATCCGCGATGACGAATTTGGGAAATACTTGAAGAAGTACGAGAGATTCCCGACTTACTACAGGGCGGCTAACCTAAAGCATGGCCACTGGACCAGGCCCTACTTTGACTGCGATGGACACTTGAAGCAGTGGGTGATTACGTATGCTGCTCCTTTCTTCGGCTGGGACAGCGTTAAAGTCAAACTGGAGTTCAAGTAAGTTACAATTGTAATCTCTCTTTCAATATAACATAACTTTTAAAAAAAATAAAACCGACTTCAAATGCGTGAACACAAAAAAAACTAAAAATTAAAAATATTGCGTATAAAAAAGTTCATCCCCAATTTTCCACCCTTGGGGGTGAAATATTTTCTTCAAATTTTCGCATGAAACCACCCTTTTGATAATACCTATTCAACAAAAAAATAATCGTTCAAATTGATTTATAATCGGCGGAGATATTGCGTATAAAAAAGTTCATCCCCAATTTTCCACCCTTGGGGGTTGTTTTTTCTATTATTAAATTTAAATGGGACCACCCTTGAGGTATTACCTATACGCCGAAAAAAGATTTGTTCAAATCGGTTCATAATTGGCGGAGTTATCGCGTAACAAACATAGAAAAAAAAAACATACGGGTCGAATTGAGAACCTCCTCCTTTTTTGAAGTCGGTTGAAAATTTATTTGATTTTGTGTGTCTTAGATTATAAATACAAAATGCTTTATTTTATAAATTATAGACAATACTTATTGTAGCAAAAATTCTTGCATAAAATGGTGCTTTTTCTTGCCATTGTGTTACTATTTGTGTGCCACATATGAAACACTTGCTTATTGAGTTAAACATATTGTTTATTTATGTGCAATTTCCAGGGGAGTGGTAGCCGTCACGATGTCTCTGATGTCGTTAGATATAAACCAATGCCCTGACAAGTACTACGTGCCAAACGCTTTCAAGAGCACCGATAAATGCGACAGGAGATCGTCTTATGTGAGTACCCAGATATAAAAATACCAGAATATTTTTTGCAAAGTAAAATCTAAAACCACTAAAATAAGTTGTGTGTTTATTTTGATGTGCTCTCGTTTGTTCTGACTACTAATCCACATTTCATTGATGTAATAATGTGCGGCTCAAATCACATCGAACTTAAACCATCCATGTATCTTGTTAATTATCTTTAAACATCTGACCCAGATTTGGCACTTATAAAATTTTGCCTTTTTGATTTAAGTCTACATATTTTACTAACTTTTACTTTCTCCCCAGTGCGTCCCAATCCTGGGCCGCGGGTTCGAAGCGGGCGGCTACAAGTGCGAGTGCCTGCAAGGCTACGAGTACCCCTTCGAGGACCCGATCACGTACTACGACGGTCAGATCGTGGAGGCCGAGTTCCAAAACATTATCGCCGACAAGGAGACGCGCATAGACATGTTCAAGTGTCGTCTAGCTGGCGCCGCGGCCATGCAGAGCAGCTTTATAGTGATCGTCGGCGTTTTGTTAGTGCTGATGAGGGTTAGGTAAGGTACTGTGTAGTCTGCCCCAATAGAATCCGGCAATTTTATAAAACTATTATCTAAAAGAGGCTGCAGTCAAGCCTATGACGTTAATAGTATATTAGCTATAGTGAAATTAAGAAGACAGCGGTCTGTGTATTAGGACCTTAAATTCACGATGAGTAAGAATCTTAAGAGATTTACCTCACTTGGCAATAAACTATGCTTACATAAATCACTAAAGACATAGACAGTTTGGTGTCAATGTTATTCGCCATTATTTGTTTGAAAGATTGTCGATTTCTACCGGCGCGGACTATAGTAAGATCATTATTCCGAACAGCGGTGACCCGTCGGAATGCTAATAACAATGTTATCATTGATCAAAGATATTTTTATAGAGAAAAAGTGAAAATTAAGCTAAGGTAGTACAAAATTGGTAACTTTTATCACAAAAATGCAATATCACAGTTCAGGATAATATAATTAAACTCCAGTGAACATAAGGTTGCCTTAGGCTGTATACAGCTATTTTATAATTGAATTGTCCCAAATATGGGACGTGTGCAATATTTTACAGGAAATCATTGAATCATTTTAACTTTTCTTTAAAAACTTATTTTACTTAATCTCAACAGAATCTCTTTAGGAATCAATTTTATGTATAGAATAATGTGAGTGTCTTCATACATAATGTTAGATCTTATTTACCTCTCAGTCAAAGATATAAAGTTTTATAAAACATTATTTTTATGTGACCCAAATAAAAATTAACATTTTACTTTTATAATATCATAGCATTCCAATTACATTTCAAAACACATAGTTGTTACGTCTTTATTTAAAAAACTTATTGTTTTGTACCTTTACATTTTACTGTCCATTTTTTCTGTTACATTTTTTTATAACTTTTTACTCTGTTGTGTACTATTTATTACTATATCTCTTATTTTATATGATATTATTATTTTAAATTGCATTTTTCTAGTTATTATGCTGGACATATCTCTGAAAGCTAATGATTTATTATAAGACTTAAGACTTTTTAAGTATCGTTTATACAGTGAGCCTGATATTTTCTTATTTGTATTGTGTATCCTATGCGTTTGCATTTAATTTTATTATTAAGAAGACATACCTTCGTGTAGGGTTTGTTTTTTATTTGTGTATAGGAATGATTTGTATTGAAAAACGTATCAAATGTAACATTTTATGTATTTCGTTTTTTTATGTTTATAATTCAATTAAACAATATAAATAGACAATTCTGGCAGCTTTAGATCTAATGGATCATTTTGTTAGTTTTAAGTTTCTCATTTAATGTCTTGTGAATCTCATGTTTCGTAGTTTGACTGTATAGACTAGCACAAACTTGAAGTTGACTGATGAATGCCGTCCATATTAGTGCCTTTACAAGTTTTGTAAGATTAATTTTGTAATTAAATAAATGTGGATGATATTTCTTGTCTTTTAATCACTCTTGTGTATACAGTTCTGAAAGGCTGAAAAAAAAAATTATTACTTTTAAGATGTTTGTGTTTAGGTTTTATAATGGGAATGGGTGATCTTGTAGTATCTTAGAAATACGAACAACTTCATCTATGTGATATGTGCCACAAACCCTATCAATGAAACTAAGGTAGCTTAATAAATAAAGCGATAAGGGTCAAGCGTTAGAAAATTCCGTTTGACGACTGAGCTTTTAAAAAGTTTTACGTACTTATTATCCCGCACAAAAATGCTTCGGACGTAAACCAGCGCTCCCACCAAGCCGAAGTAGAGGGTTATGTATACGAGCATGTATGTGATCACTAGCATGCGGAAAAAACCCATCTTCCGCCTTCCTGTGAAGGCTTTTACACATTTCCTTTTCTTCTGGTAATCATTTTTGGTTGCATCTTGTTATTGTGGAAGAGGTAAGGATGTGGTTTTAATTATTTCTGAGCATATTTCTGAGGTATGCTGCAAAGCTGTATTTGAATTTTAAAAATGGCATGGATGTCATTTGTGTAAATAACGTGAACGCATCTTCATTGGGTGAAGCGAACTTGCGAAGTGATAGGAGTTTATGAGTTTGAAAGAAGATAAACTTTAATACAGTTCATTTATTATCTTATTATTTTAGATATTGAGTAATTTATTAAATAAAAAAGTTGCTATCGATACAATAATAATTAATTGGATTTGAATGAGTCGGTAAATAGCTGACGTTTGCTTATCATTTATCAGTGACAGTGACATTGCACAAGTGACAAGAGCAAGAGTAAAAAATACACGGAAAGGTCGATATTTGACCGAAATAAATTAGTTGTAGATTTTTAAGACTAAAGGAAATCTCAAACAAGTAAGTAAATCAAGTATTTCATGTATTTTTCAGTCATTGTTTTGTATATTTTTAGGTTACGTGATTCTAACCTTGACATGAAGTAAATGGAATAACCACGTAATTTATTCAAAGATTATTAGCTAACTCTATAAAACCAGACCATCTAGATTATGCGGAGAGCAAGAGCGTGTTATATCCAGTCTAAATAAATTTACATCATAACGAACAACTTACTGTATTGTTTTTCTTCTGGGTGATAGAATACTCAAGGAAGGGTACTTCTTCGAATCGTTTATCATAATTAAACTATCTTTTTCCAGGAAAAATGAGTGCTGTTGTGAGAAAAATGTTAGATTCGCTGAAAAGCAAAGAATTTAGAGAGTATTTAATGAGGTAAGATATTTTATTCATTTATAACTAGACTCATTAAAATTTCCAGACACTGAAGCACATAAGACCTTAAAATAAAAAATAACTAAATTTGTAAAATGATATAAAATAGTTAATAAAGCTATTACTTTTTCTGGTAAACTTATTCCAAGAAGTTACACAGTTGAAGAAAATTTTATAATGTTTATTCTAGCATATTATTACTCTTGGGTCACTTTAGAGGTCATACAATATTATCTTGTGAATTCCTACTTTAACAGGAAAGAAATATACCTATCACTGTTTATCAGTTTTAATAACATGTCTCAAACTATTTTTAATTAAATTACATATAATATTCAAGACTGTATAAACAAACTTTGAACCTATGTGCATTTAATCAAAATGAAGTTACAATTTTCAGGAAATCAGATAAAAATGTATTTTTTTAAATTTCAGCACACATTTTTGGGGTCCAGTAGCAAATTGGGGAATTCCTCTGGCTGCGATTGCTGACACAAGAAAGGACCCCAGCTTCATTAGTGGAAAAATGACATTTGGTAAATAATTTAATTTTTTTTTTCAAAGATCAATAATTCACATAACAGTAGATTACATATCAGACTGTTGCAAAATAGAGCCAGTGTTTTTAAGTTAGTGTATTTACTTAAGATGCCAGTGTTTTTGAACCAATGTAGGTTACTTCTGCCTGCAATACCATAAAGTAATTTGGCAATAGCCAAATCTTAGAATACTAAGATACTCGCTTCATAAATCTCTCTGTGAGTGCTATTACTTTTTATCTTATCATGATAGGTTTTAAGTGTTAAATCCGGTGATATCTTGTTGTATGACTCTTTATGAGTTTGGCAGTAAATCAGTAATACAGCATTATAAAAAGTTATAATTTTATTTACTACTAGCTGACCCGGCGAACTCTGTTCCGCCTTAAAGGCAATAAATAAGCCATCGCAATTTTTCCTTATTTGCTCACTGTTTAACATTAGACCTACCCTGGACTACGACAAACATTTTAAAACCAAAATCAGCTCAATCGGCCCAGCTGTTCTCGAGTTTTAATCAGACTAACAAACAGCAATTCATTTTTATTTATATACATTTAAGTACTCTGACGCTGAAAAAGTTAATAAATTCATCATATTTATTATTTATTACTAACAAGTAGGAACTGTAAAGAGGTAGAAATATACACACAACTCAATGGCACACCCAGATGATAATGCTTTTATAGTAGTAACACTTTTACAATGATATTAGATAATAGCATTACAATTTATCATCATTACTGTCTGTCTGTGAATGTAATTACGTTATAAAATCTCATTATCATAAAGAATTGGGTTACAACTGGAAATGTGAAGGTTGAAGAACTCAATAATTCAATATTTTTAGCAAGACTATGTGAACAATTCACACTTTTGTTTAGCATTTAAGCTACTAAAAACAATGTAAGCAGTACTAATATTGCTTATTATTACACCTATAATAATCAAATTTTCACTTGATATTTAGACAATGTGTGTCATTTTATGCTACAAGTATGTTATATTTTAATTATACAAATATTTTGTAGCAGCCATATTAGCAGGGGATTTCTATAAACTGATGATGCTATACAATACTTTTTGTGAGCCATGTCCTGATACTTATAGTGCACTCAATCCATTGGGATCATTTGTTCGCATCTCCTCTCCCCTTTTGTCGCTTCAATTTCTACAACATTCCCTGCCAAAGTAAGACTTAAAGGGTTTGAGATCAATACCTCTTCCGTCGTATCATTTTCTCAATAATCCCTGAAGAAGTGAGACTTTTAGACGATTATCACACTGCACCGCGCTCCGCCGCGGTCCGCGTGATTACATATAAAAAATCTCGCGCGCAGACGCGTTGTCAGTGTGTTGTGCCGCGCGTGTTTTCTATACCAGCGGTTCCCGAAAGGTGGTCCGCGGAACCCTGGGGTTCCGTGGAAAGGCCGCAAGGGTTCCGTAAAAAATATTATCCCACGTTTCGTGACCGACATTGTTCGCGCGTACCGACCTGTTTACGCATAAGGGAGGGGCAGGGCGTGCGGGCGGAGTAGTACGGGGGTTCCGCTAGGAAAAGTATAATCAATTAGGGTTCCTTGGCAAAAAAAAATTGGGAAACCCTGTTCTATACAAACTGAGGTACTTGCATACAATGATTAAATCTGTCGTCCCGCGTACCGCGGCGGAGCGCGGTGCAGTGTGATAATCGCCTTAGAGTCAGATGTCAATAACCGATTAATATCTCTTCCAGCTCTATCCCTTTACTCGTTGATGTTCATGCGATTCGCCTGGAGGGTTCAACCACGCAACCTGCTCTTGTTCGCTTGCCATTTCACAAACGAATGCGCGCAACTCACGCAAGGCGCTCGCTTCGTCAACCACCACTATCTGCAGGACAAACCCGCGGTCATCGAACCGAAGGCGCCAGAACCTGAGAAGTAATGTTAAGACAGACTAATCGGTTTATAGTATAGACGTGACGTAAAAAAGACCTATGCCGTTTTCACCAACAATCCCAATTTTTAAGTGACCCCTATGAAAACAAAATCCCTGTTATGTGTTACCATAGGAGTCACTTAAAATTTGGGATTGATGGTGAAAACGGGCATTATTCTTATAAAGAAATGGGCGGAGTTGAAGCAAACTGCTCTGATTGGTCGATACGTCACTCATCGACCAATTGGGGCTGTGAGTTTTGATTCTGAGTTTTAAAAACTCATAAAACTTATTTATTTTTGTAAGTAGGCTTTTAAAAAGCATTTTTAGGTTGTGATAGCCTTCCAACTTACATTAATTTTCAAAGAATAATATGATACATTTATTATTTCATAAACGGTGTCCAAGCTTGCCTTCTTATTATAAGATTACCTAGATCAAGTTTATGTATTTTCACGTCTGTAATATAAACTGATTTTGGGGTAACTGCCAATTGACATCTGAAAGATTTCAGATTTCTGTAAATGCAAGGAATGAGCTACATCTCTCATAATGTTATGTGTTCGCCAACGGGTTAACTAACTACTTAATGATGAATAAATTAAACATTTAAATCTCTATACCATAACGGTATAACGTCGATAGTTAATTGGGAAAGATATACATTGTGTATACGTTTAAGGTTTTAAAACCAACTGTCATTTTGTGGTAGGCCGATGTATTGGCGACCAGATATTTATTCTTTGTTTTTGTTATAAAATATTAATCGACAGATGTAGCTCAAATATTTTACTGGGGTTAAAGTTAGAGAGAATATACGTACTAATATCATGAACTGTGATATGAATAGCTAGAATGCTAATTATTTCCTTGCATGTACTATCGGGGACTCTTCCGCCTGACCACTTTGTAGAAATTTTAGCGTAAGCGCATCGCTCCGGTCACGTGCTCACCCCGTCTCTAATTGGTTACGCATTTTACTATATTTTTACTACGACCAATAAGAGACAATCAGGGCTTAGGTTGCAATACGAAATACCATTGTGCACTTTATTGTCATACGGTTAAGGTTTAAAACGAAATGTTTCTTTTTCTTCAATCTTTCTTAGTTTTAGGCTGAGTTGCACCACCTAACTTTGACCGTAACTTTAACGGTAACCGGTGCTTTTTGTATGGAGTTTGACAGAATTTTGACGTTTGTTAAAGTTAAAGTAAGATGGTGCAACTCAGCCTTAGAATTTTAATAATAGAATTTGGTTACAAACAAATAGNATTGTTTTAAGCCACAAATATTCCTTAACTCTTTGCTAATTAATTCAATAACATATTGTTTAAATAAGTTCCGAATAAATTAAATACCTATTAAATAAGTAAAATTCGAAAGCAACTGTATGATTTTGTATTTCTCGCCCTAACTAGCTAAACTAATATCATGAGATTTACACTCATAATATCAACAATAATTGTAGAAAGGGCTACTTTTTTCTCGGGAAATTGCATAGTTACCTCGGAATGTGCGATAGCAATTTTGTGACCCGAGCGGGCAATCGCTAGTTCAAATTTTACACGAAGCCTCATATAATATTTTGTAGCGATTCTTTAGTGGGTTTCAAATTGACTAAAATGCGACGTTGCCAAACGAGCGCTACGAATGCTGGTAATAAGCAATACTCAATCCTAATTGCTTTACATAGAGCTTGGTTTGCTAGGGCAAACATCTACAGTGGTGCGCCGACGCTGCTTAGACCCGAAATATGAATGAACGGGGGCGGAGCAAAATCGAGCGTGTGTGTGCAAACAATTTAGGCCCTTAAGGTGTCAAGGCGTTCGAGTCCCCGATAGTACATATTCAAGGAATCGTTTTATGTAGATAATGTAACTACAGCAAATAATCGTCACGATCTTTACAAAGAGATGAGTGCTGGCTTGTTTTGTATAAGTATGGCTATTATAGTTAAATAGCTTTATTGGTAATATTAGTGTGACTGGTGAAGGTCATAGTTATGAAAGGCTACACTTCATCTCTTTCTAAAGTTCGGTTGACGATAAAATATAACTAAAGCATACCGATTTTAATCTGTACCATATTTATAAGCGCTTTGAAACGAACATTTTAACTAATTATAGAAATCGCAAAAATCACATAATTATTAACTGTTATATTTTTTGTTACACATTTATTATTAATTTTGTATATTGTTATGATAGTAGTAGTCAATAATATTTGTATACGTGTAGATTGTACCGATCTGTGAGGTTCATAAAATGAACGGTAGTACTTATTTCATTGTTTAAAAATAATGGTACGAATTAAAATCAAAACAAATAGATACTCACATTAGGACAATTTAAATAGTTGACATTATACCACATACAAGCCAATCTAGCGCAATTTAAAGTAGTTCTAAGTAGACATTTCTTCCGTGTCAAAGTATTGGCCTGTGTTACCCGCCTGTACAAATGTAGGTTTAAGCAACGCCTATCAGTTGTATAGAATCATGTAATTATTATAATGTAAAGGGTATATTTTTTGAATATTTATTGCGATTATACTCCGTTGTTGATCTGTTTTGGTGTGTTTTATTTCTGGTACTTACCTTAACAAATTGACCGTTGTTTTGTTTTTTATTTTCTACCCATATTACACAAATGCATCAAAATCGAAATAAAAATGATAATAGAGGTTCGAACCCTCTCACGCTTAAGGTCTAATGCCCTTTTATATTATTGCTTTAAAGCCGTACTTTAGTTAGAGATTGTTACTGCAGTGTGGATGCATCATTCCGAACCAGAGTAAATATATTCTTTAGTTCAGTCTGTTACAGTCCATTTTAATAAAATCCTACCATATTAAAAATAGAGGAGATATTTAATTTTACGAAAGGAAACTTTAGTTGCACTTGATTAGATTGCATGTCACAAAAATGAAGATTGAATGAAAATAAACTCAAGTGCATCGCGAACCATACCGCGTAAACAATGTCCCGTGAAACAATAGCGCGCGCGCATTGTGTCCCAGTATTCTATAGTAAGTATAGTCTTTCTTTGGCCACGTCCCTTACAAAGTGAATCGTTCTACTTAGAACTGGGGAAATTTTTGTAAATAAACGTAAAGTTTGCGTTTGTTCGACCGCATTTTCCCATTTTGGAAGTACGAGTAAGTATGTATATTTATTTTTTAATTCAGCTTTAGATATTCAGCTCAGCTTAATTTATTTACTGCTACGGAAACAAGTAGGTAAAGCACCTAATTAAAGTAAATAAAAAGAATTGGGAAAAACTTTTTCTATAAAAAGTCTATGAAGGGAAAACCGCAATGTTTTTAAAAGTACGTCAATTGATTGATTTGTGGTGTTCAAGTCACCTAGCCCATAATTTGAAAAAGGAACAACAACCATGAGAGCACGAAGTTTACTATGAAACTGCAGTGTGATTGGTCCGATGCGCTTGCGCGCAGTGCCCATGACAATAGTCTGGAAAAACATGGCGTGAAATTGACATTTTTTACGGTCGTCCTTCATTAATTAATTAAAAATACTGTCATGTTTTGTGGAATATGGATTTGTGAGAACTATAAACAATTAGGTATTGTGCGCAGTGCGTGAACTTTATTTCAAAGTGCAGTGAAATCGTCCGTCGCCATTTGAACTTGCTCGTGCTGTTGGATTGACCCTGCGACCCTCATGCGAAGGATTGTCTCCAGGTTGGTGGATGTTTTTTTATACCTATTCACCTAATGAACCACGTTACTAGGTCTGATAAATTCTTTTTTTGAAGGCTGAGTTGCACTATCTCCTACTTTAACTTTGACAAATGTCAAAAATCTGGAAAACTCCATACAAAAACACCGGTTATAATGTCTTTGTTACGGTTAAAATAATGTGCAATAATGTAGTGCAACAGCCGTGTTTGTATGTAATTTTTTGTAACTTGAATGAAACGAGAGCTTTTTTCGTCGTCTTTGTAATTTGAATCTGACAACTGATACAGGCGATTTGTATGAAGTACCTAAATTGATCCTAGCCTTTGGTAGGTGCTGTGCAGTGTGCACGGACTACTTTATCATATTTGAATACTCGTACGTAATTAAATATCACTAAAACTTTTTATTTTGAGTCCAAGCATCAATTAATACGTTCAGCGGAAAATCAAATTTTCCGGTCGCTCATTTGGCGTCGATTTCCCTCGTGGTACAATTTTGATCAAGACGTGAATTTGTCGATACATCACTCCCCACTCCCCTCTCCCCTGTAATTGGGCTGACGTCGGCGGTTTTTAGAAATATCCAACTATAAAATGAGCGCTGGAACAGTAGCAATTGGATCGTGACTCGAGATTTTATGCGATTTGCAGCGAATGATTTTCAGGAAAAGTTGACGTTTTCCCTTTGACTGCGAGTGAACCGCTTCGGTCGTAATAAAACGTTTTAAATTAGGAGTAGCTACTATGTAGCATTTTAACCTTAAAGCAACATAGTAGGTATTCAAGTGATTAGATAGTTAGGTTAAGTAGCCTAAAGCTTTTAGACTTTCACCAAAGCTTTTTTAGGATTGTTGGGCGCTCAATTCTCTTCAAAGATTTATAACAACTTAAAGCTCTCCAGTTACCTCTTTAGTGTTTATAATATTGATCTAGGCACTAAAAGTAAAATTAGTGCCTACTTGGCACTAATTAAGTGTTATTGTTGATTTTTCTAAAAAACTGAGCGCTGGTTCGAACCCCACCGCTAGACTACTGTGGTGTTATGTCACCGTAAAATTGTGAATTCCGTCAGATTATAATCTGACGTAGTTAAATTACAATCTAACCTAACCTAACCCACTGTAAGTTTACAATCTAACGCGTTATTTATAAACTGACAGAGTTCACAATTTCACGTTGACAATCCACACGTACTATCGGGGACTCGAACGCCTTGACACCTTAAGGGCCTAAATTGTTTGCACACACACGCTCGATTATGCTACGCCCCCTTTATTCATGTTTCGCGTCTAAGCAGCGTCGGCGCACCACTGTAGATGTTTACCCTTGCAAACCAAGCTCTATGTAAAGCGTTTAGGATTGAGTATTGCNATTTCGTATTGCAACCTAAGCCCTGATTGTCTCTTATTGGTCGTAGTAAAAATATAGTAAAATGCGTAACCAATTAGAGACGGGGTGAGCACGTGACCAGAGCGATGCGCTTACGCTAAAATTTCTACAAAGTGGTCAGGCGGAAGAGTCCCCGATAGTACGTAACACAAGCTTGTTGTCTATGCTCTTCGTTATTTTATTTTCATTACAAAAATTCGTAGGTACCTAAAAAGAAATTCCGGGAACTGTTATTCAAGCTTTAAACAGAATGTTATTCCACTCCTACCATTTCCTCTGAAGTAGCATCTTTACATGTCTTACAAATGAGTATTACCTCGAATAGCTGAAGTGTTTCCAGTCCATGAAAGGCGTAATGGCTTCTGCCGGCGACTGTCCTTTAACCGGTTCCGGCCCCGATCCCAGCTTGTTTGTTTCAACTTACGCGTATAAT